GTTAAACTTGTAGCTGGCTGGTGCGGAGCGCGTGGAATGGAGGAGGTTCATGTTGTCCAAGAAGCCGAAGTTGGTGCGCGCCGAGCTTGGCGTCGCTGGCGACTTGCAGCGAGCGGGCGCCATGCTTCGCGGCGTCGTAGCGGGAGGTGAGCTTGGGGGCGTTGCGGCCCTGGGAGACGCCCTGCTGGTTGATACGCGTGCTTTGTCGCAGCGCCCTTGACCAAGAGATTAGCAGCACCTGCGATGGTTGTGACACTCATGTTTTTTCAGCGAGAACGGGCGGGCGTGACAGGGGGCACTGTAGTTAGTGTGCTCGCGCTGCGTGTTATCGCCCGTCAACAGAAAGGCGAGGGCGAAGTCGTTCAGGTCGGGGACGTAGTACTGGAACTGCGGAGCAGTGGATGCCCCGACGTGAATGAGGACACCACTCGGCATGCGCGCGATGATGCAATCGGCGTAGCAGGCAATGTTGGGATACGTCGCGACGAAGACGGGACGCCAGTGAGCGCGAAGCGCATTGGCAATGGATGCGAAGACAAGCTGCAATACGATGATGCGGCATGGATGAGCAGCACGAGGTCCTTCAACGGACACGGCATGGTTTTCGGGGAAGCGCTTCCTCCCGATTTGGCTGACCTGCGGGAAGGGGTCGGAGGTGGGCGCGCAGTGCGCCGCCCTGCAGCGCGGCGCAGCGGTTGGGGAGCACCTGCGCGGCCCTGACTGGCAGATCCTGCGCGGCCGTTGTATCCGAAGGGTTCGCGAGCAGCACGTCGGCCATCTCTGCGGCGTTCTTCTCTGCGACGCTGGCGGTCTTCATGGTGACTTTCGTCGTGGCAGGAAACTGCGCGGCGATGGCGGCGGTCCTCCTGGAGACTGAGGGGCGCGGGGCCGTTGGAGTGGGCGCCCCTATAGGAGGGGGCGGCGGACATGATGTTGTAGCGCAGACAACTGGCGTGAGGATGCTGCTCGATGATTCGCCGCTGGCCAGGTCCACTGCGGGGCAGCTGCGCACGTGACTGACTCTTCTGGGCTGGGACGGACCGGAACGCAATGAGGCGATGCGGACGCACGGAACGGAGCACGATGCGCTGAAATGGATACACGGCAGGGGGTACGAGACGATCTGGAAGCTCGGGACGCTGGACACAGCAATATGAATGGCGGCTAGCAACGCGGGAATGATCAGCAGGAATGGGCGGCATCTCGATCTTGGGCGTGGCATCGACAATGACGTCGGGTTGTGGATTGTCATGATAACCAGGCGCGTGCTCGGGACAGCGCGCGAGAACATGTGCAGCTCGGCGCCCTCAGGGTCGAGCTTGAGGATGAAGTGTCTGGTCTTGTAGGACATATCGTCGCGCGCGTGCACTGGCGCGAGGGTGATCGGCATCACAACGGCGTCAAACGGCCGAGGAGCACGGCGAGGGTTATGCACGCCAAGTTGCCGACTCCGTGTCGGCAAAGCGCGCCTGGAAGGAGGTGGGGACGTTGCCTCGGTCGATGGACTGGCACTGCGGGCTGTCGAAGGCTCTCTCGTTCCACTGGGGGATGGAAGGGTCTACCTGGCCGCGGATAACGATCTTGGCGATGGGCATGGAGTCGCAGTGGATCTCTCGCTTGGCGGGGAAAGCTCTCCACTGCTGGCGAGGGTAGCGCTGCTGCAATAGCTGAAGGAGCTTCTGGGTCTGGGCTTCTGTCCTGATCTACACGGGGGACTTGTCTGGATTGATGTCGATGTCAACTGGATGACCTGTTGTATCGGTTGAAGTGAAACGCTTCCATTGGCCAGCTGCATTGCGCATTGCGCGCGAGAGAGTCTGCGCACGGGGTACTGCGACAGCATTGTCTCGTTCGACTTGAAGGACGAAGCGGCGGGCAGGTTCACCATCTCCGAGTAGCTCCACGCGATTAGGCCGGAGGTTGGCTTCTGCAACCCAATCCTGGGTGTCGTTGAGCACCGCATTCGGGCCCAGAAGGCGCTGGCAGCCCACGACGAAGACCGTCGGATCAGGCTGTCGGTCCCGCTCGGCGAGACGGTTGAGGTTTGCGATCGGCATCTGAGCTTCTGCGAGGGCGAGGATGTCGCGCATCTGGTCGATCTGCTGCCACATACGCTGCTGCTCGGAGGCCTGGCGGTCTTGTTCTCTGCGAGTGCGAGCGGCTTCGTCATGGAGTACATCCTCTCGGCGTTCAGGAGCGGCCACTTGTTGTTGAACGAGAAGGCGGACACTTTCACTATATTAAATGAGAAGCTGGCAAGCTTGTGCTTGAAAACGGGAGGCGGCAGTAGCGACTTGTCGATGCATGAGTTCCCGAAGAGCGACACCGAGGTCTTCGGGTATCCCAGGTAGCGGTTCATTTCGCTCTTGATGTTGTTTATGTGGTTCGTGTTGTGATCCAGGAGTAGCGTGTGCAGTGACTGGAGTGCCTGGCGCAGCAGCGGGTTGGAAAGCAAAGGTGGCAGCCATTTCGATGATATCACGAGCGAGTTGTTCGGCGG